AAATATATATATATATATATATATATATATATATATATATATATATATATATATATATATATATATATATATATATATATATATATATATATATATATATATATATATATATATATATATATATATATATATATATATATATATATATATATATATATATATATATATATATATATATATATATATATTGTGTGTGTGTGTGTGTGTGTGTTAATAAAATTACAGGGGGAGGAGAGGCGTATAAAGCGGGCGCTTCCGGTCATTGGGCTGTCTATAATCAAGGCAAATCACCCATTTCATTTATTTCATTTGTCAATAGTAACTTCTGCGACGGTGATAATTAAATATTTTTATGACAGAGTTGGGTACGATTCTGTGGCTGTGTCAGAGAGAGAGAGAGAGAGTGAGTTTGTGTATATATATATATATATATATATATATATATATATATATATATATATATATATATATATATATATATATATATATATATATATATGTGTGTGTGTGTGTATATGTTCGTGCGTGTGTGTGTGTGTGTGTGTGGGCGTATATGTGCGTGTGTGTATGTTTGTAAATATAGGTGTATGGTAAGAGGAGACAGTTAGTGCCACATTCAACCTGGTGTCCATGGCATCCTCACGTGACTGGGGGTAATTCATGAACACACTGAAAACACGATGATGCCTAAAAATGGAAACCTCCGGACGCCATGACAGGTATAAACTCGGACGGGTTGTTTTCTCCAGACTATTATATTCTACGCCTGCGCTAAAGTACTCGTATATCTCCTGTGTGTAAAGTTAACCTAACCTAACCTGACCTGACCTGACCTAAACCTTTATGTACACCTGAAGGCGGGGATGAGACAGACACACAGACAGACAGTGATCATTGGAGACAGTCATAAAAAAGGTGTGTACAGTACAGGTGTTGAGGAGGCTAATAAGACACCCACACACCTGTACCAAGACGTGACGTAATGAATGGAAAGAAAACACAGCGACGCGAAAAAAGAAAAAAAGTGTGAAATGAAGGAAACTATGAAAAAAGAGAAGAGATATATGAAAAAAAAGTGTTAAATCGAGGATATTATGAAGTAAGATCAATGTTAAATGAAGAAAAATTAAAAAAAAATAGAAACGCAGGAAAGTGGGAAGGAAAAAAGGGGGACAAAAGTGGGAAGGAAAAAAGAGGGACAAAAGTGGGAAGGAAAAAAGAGGGACAAAAGTGGGAAGGAAAAAAGAGGGACAAAAGTGGGAAGGAAAAAAGAGGGACACAAGTGGGAAGGAAAAAAGAGGGACAAAAGTGGGAAGGAAAAAAGAGGGACAAAAGTGGGAAGGAAAAAGAGGGACAAAGGGAACAGAAGGAAGAAGTTTTATAAGGTGGTACAGAAAGACCCCGTAAAACTTTATAATTAGACCCCCAAAAAATAGATTAGGCGAGACACTCAAACTTAAATGACAAAAATACTGGATAAAAACACCTAGAAGGAATACGATAAAAAGAGGAGATAGAGAGAGAGAGACCGATAAAGATATGGAAAGGGGGATCATAGAATATAATAAACGAATGAAAGGAAGGAAGCAGTTAACAGTATTGAATGGTGGGAAAAAATTGGTGAATGAGGCAACCAAAATTAAACCCAAGACCTGAATTGTTGTTGTCTGTTTTGATTAATACGACCGGAAACCTGAATTGATTGTAGTTGGTAGTGAAAGGTTGGTTAATCTATTTCCCTCTCCCTCTCCCTCCCTCCCTCCCTCCCTCCCTCCCTCTTCCTACCTCCGTGCTCTCCACTCAGCAGCAACAACCTCACCAGAATGTGACTGGGATGTGTACTGTTGCTTCACCGGCTCCTCCTTCTCTATTCAGGTTGGTACGCGATTTTCTGTGAGGAGGTCAGAGGTCCTATTCTGTTGAGTTGTGTCTCAATTAAACACGGACACATACAACCGTAAGCTGAAATGTTGTACTGATTTTTATTTTTTTTTACGGGTTCCTATAGATTGGATGCGAGAAGTGTGTGTGTGTCTGTCTGTCTGTCTGTCTAAATTTCTCTCTCTCTCTCTCTCTCTCTCTCGTTATATATGCACAGCAACCCCCAACCACCCCCAACCACCACCCCCCCCTACCCGATATCCCAGAACCCATTGACTCTCTCAAATGGGGTTCCATTATCTTCTTACTGTTCCAGCCCTGGAAACCCATTAGTTACAGGTGTGCGGGCGCGCGCGTGTGTATAAACTCATAACGCGATATACAGGATTGATGAAAAAAAAAGTTTACCTGTATTTTGCGCTCAGTTCATTACAGCAGCAGTTACAGGTCCCATTTTTATTGTAACCCGCGGACTACTTTTTTATATATGGAAAAAAAAAGTTTGGGATAAAATAATGGTAACTGTTCGATTTTGTTTTTCTTTTTAGAGAGGAACTACTGAAAAAAAAAGTGTGGTTACAGCTCTTGTCTCTTGCTGTCCTAAGGGTGGGTTGGTGGTTGGGGCTCGGGGTCACCCTCAGTCGACCCAGCTGTGTATGGGTACCTGACTAAACGTACAGGGTATGTTATATCTGCACTGGGCCTTAAACCTTATCCACCCACGATACTCACACAGTACACCTTATCCACCCACGCTACAGTACACAGTACACCTTATCCACACACGATACTCACACAGTACACCTAATACACCCACGATACTCGCACAGTACACCTTATCCACCCACGATACTCACACACTACACCTTATCCACCCACGATACTCACAGTACACCTATCCACACGATACTCACAGTACACCTATTATCCACGATACTAATAGCACAATAAACACCCACGATACTGCACAGTACACCTTATCCACCACGATACTACACAGTACACCTTATCCACCCAATACATACACAGTACACCTTATCCACACACGATACTACACAGTACACTAATACACCACGATACTCACACAGTACACTAATACACCCACGATACTCACACAGTAAACCTTATACACCACGATACTCACAGAACCTTATCCACCCACGATACTCACAAGTACACCTTATCCACCCACGATACTCACACAGCACAACCTTATCCACCCACGATACAGTACACAGTACACTTATCCACACACGATACTACACAGTACACCTATCACCCACGATACTCACACAGTACACCTTATACACCCACGATACTCACACAGTACACCTTATCCACCACGATACTACACAGTACACCTATCCATACACGATACCACACAGCAACCTAATACACCCACGATACTGCACAGTACACCTATCCACACACGATACTCACACAGTACACCTAATACATCCACGATACTCGCACAGTACACCTTATCCACCCACGATACTCACCAGTACACCTTATCCACCCACGATACTCACAGTACACCTTATCCACCCGATACAGTACACAGTACACCTTATCCACACACGATACTCACAGTACACCTAATACACCCACGATACTCACACAGTACACCTTATCACCCACGATACTCACAAGTACACTTATCCACCCACGGTACTCACACAGCACACCTTATACACCACGATACTCACAGTACACCTTATACACCCACGATACTCGCCGGTACACCTTATCCACCCACGATACTCACACAGTACACCTTATCCACCCACGATACTCACACAGTACCTTATCCACACACGATACTCACAGTACACATTATCCCACGATACTCGCACAGTACACCTTATCCACACGATACTCACAGTACACATATCCACCCACGATACTCACACAGTACCTTATCCACCACGATACTCACAGTACACATATCCACGATACTCACGGTACTTATCCACACGATACTCACACAGTACACCTTATCCACACACGATACTCACACAGTACACCTTATCCACCACGATACTCACACAGTACACCTTATCCACCACGATACTCGCACAGTACACCTTATCCACCCACGATACTCACAGTACACCTTATCCTTCCACGATACTCACCAGTACACCTTATCCATCACGATACTCACACAGTACACCTTATCCACCACGATACTCACACAGTACACCTTATCCACCCACGATACTCACACTGTACACCTTATCCACCACGATACTCACACAATTACCTTATCCACCACGATACTGACACAGTACACCTTATCCATCCACGATACTCACAACATATCACCCACGATACTCACAGTTACCTTATCTACCCGATACTCCACAGTACACATATCCACCACGATACTCACACAGTACATATCCACCCGATACTCACAAGTACACCTTATCCACCCACGATACTCCAGTACACCTTATCCACCCGATACTCACACAGTACACCTTATCCACCGATCTCACATTACAATCCACCCGATACTCACACAGTACACCTTATCCCCCACGATACTCACACAGTACCTTATCAATCACGATACTCACACATTACATATCCACCCACGATACTCACACAGTACCCTTATCCACCCACGATACTCACACAGTACACCTTATCACCCACGATACTCACAGTACACCTTATCCACCCACGATACTCACACAGTACACCTTATCCATCCACGATACTCACACATTACACCTTATCCATCCACGATACACCCACAGTACACAATACTTACACAGTACACCACAATTCTCACTATACCATCCACAATATTAACACGATATACTGTGTCCATTTCAATACAACATATTTAGGGGGACCAGGCGTTGGGTTCATCATACATCATACAACATACTCACCGGAGCAGGCGTTGGGTTCATCATACATCATACAACATACTCACGAGAGCAGGCGTTGGGTTCATCGACATCATACAACATACTCAGGGCAGGCGTTGGGTTCATCATACATCATACAACATACTCACGGGAGCAGGCGTTGGGTTCATCATACATCATACAACACTCCGGGAGCAGGCGTTGGGTTCATCATACATCATACAACATACTCACGGGAGCAGGCGTTGGGTTCATCATACATCGCCCAACATACTCACGGGAGCAGGCGTTGGGTCCATCGCCACAACAAACTCACCGCGGGTCCATCATACAACATACTCACGGGAGCAGGCGTTGGGTCCATCATGCAACATACTCAGGGAGCAGGCGTTGGGTTCATCATACATCATACAACATACTCACGGGACCAAGCGTTGGGTTCATCATACTTTCATACAACATACTCACGGAGCAGGCGTTGGGTTCATCATACATCATACAACATACTCACAGGAGCAGGCGTTGGGCCATCATACATCATACTCACGGGAGCAGGCGTTGGGTTCATCATACCTCATACAACATACTCACGGGAGCAGGCGTTGGGTCCATCATACATCATACAACATACAGGACCAGGCGTTGGGTTCATCATACATCATACAACATACTCACGGAAGCAGAAGTTGGGTTCTCCATCGCCACAATACAGGAGCAGGCGTTGGGTACATCATACATCGCCCAACATACTCACGGGAGCAGGCGTTGGGTTCATACATCGCATAATACAGGGAGCAGGCGTTGGGTACATCATACATCATACAACATACTCACGGGAGCAGGCGTTGGTCCATCATACATCATACAACCCTACGGAGCAGGCGTTGGGTACATCGCACATCGCCACAACATACTCACGGAAGCAGGCGTTGGTTCATCATACATCATACAACATACTCACGGAGCAGGCGTTGGGTCCGTCATACATCATACAACATACTCACGGGAGCAGGCGTTGGGTCCATCATACATCATACAAAATATACCTACGCAGGCGTTGGGTTCATCATACCACGCATATACCGAGCAGGCGTTGGGTTCATCATACATCATACAACATACCCACGGGAACAGGCGTTGGGTTCATCATACACCATACAACATACCACGGAGCAGGCGTTGGGTCCATCATACATCATACAAAATACTCACTAGAGCAGGCGTTGGGCCCATCATACAATATACTCACGGGAGCAGGCGTTGGGTTCATCATACATCATACAACATACTCACGGGTGCAGGCGTTGTCATCATACATCATACAACATACTCACGGGAGCAGGCGTTGGGTTCATCATACATCATACAACATATCACGGGAGCAGGCGTTGGGTCCATCATACATCATACAACATACTCACGGAGCAGCGTTGGTTCATCATACATCATACAACATACTACGGAGCAGGCGTTGTTCATCATACATCATACAACATATCACGGTGCAGGCGTTGTCATCATACATCAACAAATATTCACGGAGCAGGCGTTGTCATATACATCATACAACATACTCACGGAGCAGTTGGGTCATCATACATCATACAACATACTCACGGGAGCAGGCGTTGGTTCATCATACATCATACAAAATACTCACGAGAGCAGGCGTTGGGCCCATCATACAACATACCACGGGAGCAGGCGTTGGTTCATCATACATCATACAACATACCACGGGTGCAGGCGTTGTCTATCATACATCATAACATACTCACGGAGCAGGCGTTGTCTATCATACATCATACAACATACTCACGGGAGCAGGCGTTGGGTTCATCATACATCATACAACATACCACGGAGCAGGCGTTGTCTATCATACATCAACAACATACTCACGGGAGCAGGCGTTGGGTTCATCATACATCATACAACATACTCACGGGAGCAGGCGTTGTCTTACATCATACAACATACTACGGGAAAGGTCATCATACATCACAAATACAACGGAGCAGGCTGGGCCCATCATACAACATACCACGGAGCAGGCGTTGGGTTCATCATACATCATCACAACATACTCACGGGAGCAGGCGTTGGGTCCATATCATATAAAACATACTCACGGAGCAGGCGCTGGGTTCATCATACATCATACAAAATACCACGAGAGCAGGCGTTATTCCATCATACAACATACTCACGGAGCAGTAGGTCCATCATACATCATACAACATACCACGGGTGCAGGCGTTGGGTTCATCATACATCATACAACATACTCACGGGAGCAGGCGTTGGTTCATCATACATCATACAAATATCACGGGAGCAGGCGTTGGTTCATCATACATCATACAACTTATCACGGGAGCAGGCGTTGTTCATCATACATCATACAACTACTCACGGGAGCAGGCGGGTCTATCGTACATCATACAACATACCACGACAGGTTCATCAACATCATACCATACCACGGAGCAGGCGTTGGGTTCATCATACATCATACAACATACTCACGGGCAGCGTTGTCATCATACATCATCACATACTCACGGGCAGGCGTTGGGTCCATCATACAACATACTCACGGGAGCAGGCGTTGGGTCCATCATGCAACATACCGAGGCGTTGGGTTCATCATACATCATACAACATACTCACGGGACCAAGCGTTAGGTTCATCATACTTCACACAACATACTCACGGGCAGGCGTTGGGCTCATCATACATCATACTCACGGGGCAGGCGTTGGGTTCATCATACATCATACAACATACTCCGCGGAGCAGGCGTTGGGTCCATCATACATCATACAACATACTCACGGGACCAGGCGTTGGGTTCATCATACATCACACAACATACTCACGGGAGCAGAAGTTGGGTTCATAACCATCATACAACGGGCAGGCGTTGGGTACATCATACATCATACAACATACTCACGGGAGCAGGCGTTGGGTCCATCATACATCACCCAACATCACGAGAGCAGGCGTTGGGTACATCATACATCACCCAACATACCACGGAAGCAGGCGTTGGGTTCATCATACATCATACAACATACTCACTGGAGCAGCACGTTGGTCCATACATCATACAACATACTCACGGGACCAGGCGTTGGGTCCATCATACATCATACAACATACTCACGGGTGCAGGCGTTGGGTTCCATCATACAACATACTCACGGGAGCAGGCGTTGGGTTCATCATACATCCCACAACATACTCACGGGAGCAGGCGTTGGGTTCATCATACATCGCATACACATACTCACGGGTGCAGGCGTTGGGTTCATCACATCATGCAGCATACTCAGGGAGCAGGCGTTGGGTTCATCATACATCATACAACATACTCACGGGACCAAGCGTTGGATTCATCATACTTCACCCAACATACTCACGGGGCAGGCGTTTGGTTCATCATACATCGCCACAACATACTCACGGGGCAGGCGTTGGGTTCATCATACATCACAACATCTCACGGGGCAGGCGTTGGGTCCACCATACATCATAAACATACTCAGGACCAGGCTTGGGTTCATCATACATATACCATACTCACGGGAGGCAAGTTGGGTTCATCATACATCATACAACGCAGGAGCAGGCGTTGTATCATACATCATACAACATACTCACGGGAGCAGGCGTTGGGTCCATCATACATCATGCAACATACTCACGAGCAGGCGTTGGGTACATCATACATCCTCCACAACATACTCACGGAAGCAGGCGTTGGGTTCATCATACATCGCCTAACATACTCACGGGTGCAGGCGTTGGGTTCATCATACATCACACAACATCTCACGGAGCAGGCGTTGGGTCATATCGCCTACAACATACTCACGGGTGCAGGCGTTGGGTTCATCCATACATCGCACAACATACTCACGGGAGCAGGCGTTGGGTTCATCATACATCGCCTGCACATACTCACGGGAGCAGGCGTTAGGTTCATCATACATCATACAACATACTCACGGGAGCAGGCGTTGGGTTCATCATACATCGCCACAACATACTCACGAGAGCAGGCGTTGGGTTCTTCATATAATCATACAACATACTCACGGGAGCAGGCTTCGGTTCATCCCACATCATACAACATACTCACGGGAGCAGGCGTTGGGTTCATCATACATCATACAACATACTCACGGGAGCAGGCGTTGGGTTCATCATCCATCATACAACATACTCACGGGAGCAGGCGTTGGGTTCATCATACATCATACAACATACTCCACAGGGAGCAGGCGTTGGGTTCATCACATCATACAACGCACTCACGAGCAGGCGTTGGGCCCATCATACAACATACTCACGGGAGCAGGCGTTGGGTTCATCATACATCATACAACATACTCACGGGTGCAGGCGTTGGTTCATATACATCATCATACGCAGGGAGGAGCGTTAGGTTCATCATACATCGCCAACATACTCACGGGACCAAGCGTTGGATTCATCATACTTCATACCACATACTCACAGGAGCAGGCGTTGGTTTATCGCCACATCACGCAACATACTCTACCACGGGAGCGGCGTTGGGTTCATCATACATCATACAACATACTCACGGGAGCAGGCGTTGGTTCATCATACATCAAACACATACTCACAGGGCGGCGGTTGGGTTCATCATACATTACAACATACTCACGGGAACGTTGGGTTCATCATACATCATAACATACTCACGGGAGCAGGCGTTGGGTTCATCATACATCATACAACGCCACTCACGGGAGCAGGCGTTGGGTTCATCATACATCATACAACATACTCACGGGAGCAGGCGTTGGGTCCATCATACAACATACTCACGGGAGCAGGCGTTGGGTCCATCATACAGCCATACAACATACTCACTGGACCAAGCGTTGGGTTCATCATACTTCATCACAACATACTCACGAGGAGCAGGCGTTGGGTTCATCACACATCATACAACATACTCACGGGAGCGGCGTTGGGTTCATCATACATCGTGCAACATACTAAGAGAGCAGGCGTTGGGTTCATCATACATCTCACAACATACTCACTGGACCAACTTGGGTTCATCGCACTTCACATAACCATAATACTCACAGGAGCAGGCGTTGGGTTCATCACACATCGCCACAACATACTCACGGGAGCAGGCGTTGGGCTCATACATCATACTCATGGGAGCGGGCGTTGGGTTCATCATACATCATACAACATACTCACGGGAG